GCAAGGACAGGTGTGAGCAAAAACCCAAGTCCAGATTCCAGAAAGTTGAAACGAAGATAAGAACGGGYAAACCGCCCGGAGCCGCAATCAAAATGTATGTACACAGATGAAGAGGGAGAAGAGACAAAGAAACAGCAAATCTACGTCCATCAACCTCAACTCTCTTCACCTCTCTCTCTCTTTCTCCGATGCGGATAGTCCGTCGTCACGCACCAACCCACGAAGTTGTCACCCCGCTTAGTCCTTTCGCACCCGTCAGATTCGCCCGTGCCCACAGTCCGTCGTGGCCCACGTCAATCCCGCGCGTTCGGCACCAGCCCGTCGGGGCGCCCAACTCCGACTCTTCTCACCTCTTACTTCGCTCGTGTGCCAACCCTTCCTGGTCGCGCAACCCCGAGCTTCCAACAACGGGTTAAGAGAGCTGACTTATCACGCAGCCGAAATTTATAGCGTGCATGCATGCGYRAAGAACACGGAATTACTAGGACTTAGAGTGAGGATTAGAGAGGGAGCGTCTGCGTTCWGCATGATCGGCCGCAGCGTKGGGGACGTAACCCTTTTCCACGCATCGAYCCGAGCATGCAAGCCGCGGCTTACAAAATTTCAGCAAAGGAAAGAGAGGGAGGGCGGGAAAGACGAAGTGCAAGAAGAAAGATACAATTACAATGGCGCCCGCCCAAAATTACAGTTACACACGCGATTAAGAGCGCCTACTAATCAGAGTACCGTTGCAGCCGCATGAAGAAGCGCGTAAACAAAAGGCGCCGCGCGGCAGGAAAAATCCTAATTACTGAATTCCTAAATTCCTATCTAATGTGAAAAAGCAAAAAGCACGAGTTCCAGAAGGAAAGTCCGAAATTCTGAGAGTCACTGGGGGCTCGACAAAATTCTAAAAAGATTCAAGAGGAATTTCAAAAAGAAACGAAGCAATTTCCCGCGCGATGTCCGTGCCCAAAAGATCGAAAACCGAACCAAAAGGAACAACGTCAACATTTCTTAATCGCGCGCGCGCGTGGCATCGCGCCAGACAACCATTCGACCAAGCAATCAACCGGCCGTCCCAAGACACACCTGACCCCGTGCCCGGCAATTCGAAAAAGAAACGACGATAAAGGTCGAAAAAGCGAGGATGCTGATGCAATTCTCCACCGATCCCGATCTCCCGTAATTGGCCCAATCTTCCCAGCTTAGGACCCCTCATTGCAACCGCGCAGAAAATCGCGCGTTACAGAAAGTGGTTCGTCACATCTATCCTACCTCAGTGTGACCAGCACTCAGGACCATTGTCTTACCATCGGGTAGGCAACTTGGACCGAACAGCAGTGATAGGCACCACGGCTGATAAGCTGCGCAGCCTTGGTGGAAGCGGAATCGGACAAACCTTGTCGAACGGGAACTTCGGACGCCAGGCCCAGACAATCTACCAGAGGTCCCAATATATGGCCACCAGACAGTTCTATCCGGATGTCAGTAGGAACTGCACCCAATGGCACCCTATCCAACCAACATGAACCTACTGCAGATACTAGACCCTTATCCAGTGACTAGACCCCAGAGCCTTGTGTATGTATCCCAGAGGCGATGTGTAGTTCTATGTTATGTCCGAAGGCTATGTGTATGTGTATGTTGCCCGTAGGCGATATATAGTTCTATGTTATGTCCGAAGGCTATGTGTGTACCATCTTCGTTTTCCATTTTCTAAAATACGCAAAACGCTTACATTCCGGGAACTTCAGCGGGAAGAAAAACAAAATGAGGTTGTGTAGGGTTTGAGAACCCTACGACCCCTCTTTTCTTTTCTGCTTTTTTTCTGGGCCGGGATAAATCTCCAAAGCCCCGCAACCGCAACCCAAGTGCAGCCGTCCACGGGCGCATTTGGGATCCCGACGGCGGGCCAGGATCAACCCGCGGTCATGACCGCAACTCGGTAGAAGCTCCCTCCGAGGAGACATCCCCTATGACACATTGTGAACTGGACTTCTCAGAGGAGCTAAGGGCAAAACTGAGATACTGTTACAACTCGACAGAAGCTCCCTCGGAGGGGACACATCCCCAACGGCCGGTCTTGGACCAACCTGCACAAGCTACCTCTCCCAGACAAAATCCCTCCAACTTGAAGATGGGAGGAAGTGGCCAGGCAACCCCTCGTAGAAACAGCTGGATCACTGAATCAGATTCACTGACCCCCAAAGTAGAGTCTCGTGTAACACATACAATCCATGCACAGAGTGGGGGCAGGGACAATCCATGGACAGAGTGGGGGCAGGGACAATCCATGGACAGAGTGGGGGCAGGGGATTGTGAGGGTCGGGGACATGTGGGACCAGCAGTGGAAGGACTGGATTTTCTCAGAGGAGATAAGGGAAAAACTGAAATTTTGTCACAACTCAGGGGATGCCCTGGACACATTGGCTTTCTCTCAATCCCACTGCCAGTGGACTGGGTACGCATCCTGAAGAGTGGCCCCAAGCTCCGGGAAAGCGACTGGGTTGCCCTCAGGGATGATCTTGGGAAGGTGGGCAGTGGGCACCATCGCGGTCACCCACAGGGTTGGAGAACTTAATAATTGACATATTCCAGTGTCAGTTTAATCCGGGTCACTCCACCCGCGTGGGTGAGAAATTATTATTGACATATTCCAGCTCCCGCAAGCTCACCGGTCCCACGTCTACACCAGGACGCCCCCACATGCCACTAACTTCCCGCCCACAATATCTACATTACCACGTGGAACTCACAGGGTCACTGGATCAACATATGACAGCGGGGCTGCAGATGCCTGGAACTGATCTTGGACCAGTAAGCTATAAGATAGGGGGGATAACAGCCAATTTGAAATTTCCAGGTGGGGGCTGCGTCAGTAGGAAGTAGGAGCTCTACAAGAAGGGAGGGTAAGCAGCCGACAGGGAACTATGGTGCTCAATGAAACGAACCGACATGGACACGGCCTCAGCAAACACTGTACTCTGAATATGCATCCAATGGACGCTGTTCCCGATTTCCAGCAAGTGTCTCTTCGCCCCCAGCAATAGATGGAGCAGCCCGGAGAGCCAAGCCTCAATCCCAGTTGTTCTCTTATCACCACTGCGATAGAGGACTTGCAGAACGGCCTTCAGAAATTAAATGTGCGGCGTACCAAATAGAGACCCCCCCGGGAGAGCTGGCCTTTGATCGACAGATGTGGGCCTGGACCCGCTCCCACAGCAGGAGGAAAGTTGTTACCCTCTATTTACACACAATGCACAACTGCCCACGTGTGAACTTGCAAGAGGAGGTGACCCCCATATGGATGCAGCACCTGAAAGTGGAAATGGAATCCCTAATACCAAGTCCGTAGCATATACCAATTCCGCCATACCCCCTTAATGCTGCATATCTATTGAAATAGTATATCATATTATTGGTATTACTTCAAGCAAAATAAACTAATTAATTTAAATTGGAATAAAATACGGTACAATGGTTTACGGGAACGAAATATAGACCGACTAATGAAGTACCCGAGACCATTGAACGTATATTTATGCGATGCCCTACTTCTCTCTGGGTATATGGAGGCGGTTGGACCGCATTCGGGGACTATCATTTTTCAACTGGCGCTTCATCTCCCTTACCTCTTTTGCATCTTCTTCTTCTTCTTCTTGTCTATCTATTGTCGGTCAAAGTTGGTTTGTTGCGTATCGAGGGCTTTCTTTTCTGACGAATTTGGCACACTTCAACAAACCAGCAGTGGCCTTGGGACTCTAGCCAATCCTGTGCGGAGCTTGGCACCCGGACGAGCCCAGCCCATTTCCAGTGTCCCAGTGCCTGGACACTGGAAATGGACAGTGGTCGGTTGGATGCAAACGAGGTCACTAAGATGATCCGACAGCACATTCAGCGAAAAATACAAGGGGAAGGAAAGTTCACGCAACTAAAGACAAGACCTTTTCAACACACGAACAGACATCAGAAACCAATCTAAGCAGTTCTTCAACGATCACTGTTTCCTCTAGCCTAAGCAAATAAAAAAAAAAATATATGATCTCAGTAAGGGCGGCCCCAGTAACACGAGTTGTTCTGTTTTTCCAACTTTTTTTCAGATGGGACTCTGGGCCCGGTTTCCAGCAGACCATTACAGATTTTTTTTCATTTTTTTTAAAGCCATTACAGATTTGAGATATGCTGCAATGTTCACAAACAATTAATTCGAATAAAATGCATTCACCGGGCCGCCCGGGTCCCGGGTGGCCAGCCCGTGCAAGGACCAGGGAAGGTCCCAGCCAAAAATAAAAAAATAAATAAAAATAAAAATAAAAAAAACCGATAAAAAAACTATGTTATGMAGAAAAATAAACTGAACAACTTTTGCCTCAGGGTCACATCGAGATTCTACACCAAATTTAGAATAAAAAATAACATTTTAATTTTTTATTTTTATTTTTATTTTTTAATTGTTTTTCCCGGCCGGGCAAGTGACCACGGGCCACTCTGGTAGCCTAGATTCACATAAGTTTTAACCAGGAGAAACTAAAAAACAATCAGCCCTGCCCACGAGGGGGCGAGGTTGCCGAACTGGCACAGCCAGAAAGTTTTCGCTCGTCAAGTGGCAGCAGGGACCAGCAAAACTCGCTGCAAAAGTACCGAGTAGTTTTGCCACCAGAATTTTATTTCTCGGACTATTTTCCATGCAATTTTAACCGCCGAGAGGAGCCTTTTGCTTTCAGCAAAGAGCGCAATTTCCCCTGGCAGTGCAGCAGAAAACAGATTCGCAAGCAAAGCAACAAGCACTCAGCGAGAACCTAATTTGCCCTGGCAGCGCAGTAGAAAACATACCAGTGAGACCAACCCACTACAAATGTCATACTACAGATGGCGTGCATAACTACTGTATGGGGCAAAAGAAAGCAAAGTAGCATTCACACATGTGAACACCCAAAACCGGACAAGACAGAACGCAACTATCACATCACCAAGACGTCAAGATCGGTTTTTTTGTGAACTGCACAATGCCGTGAAAATTCATCATAGCCACAGAAAAGTCCACGTACATACGCCCACTCTCCGAACAGCATACGTATATCAACCCCAGCACACAACAATCTCTATGGCCTGCATCAGCTGCTTCTGGGGAATAGCATGACTTGTGCGCTTTCAAAAAAAGCGCTGATACAAACTCGACACCAACTCGATATCATTGTTTTCGAACTTCAGCATTCATTAAGAGCTTTTTGCAAACACTCCTTGACGTGTAACTACTATTGCTTTCCCCACACCCGCACTGTCCAGCATCAAAAAAAAAAAGAAAAACCAGGTAAATCGCATCCATGTTCTGTCGTTCACAACACTATCGTGCCGCTGGCCACTCTAGGAAATGGTCGACGAAATGCATAACCCAGAGTCTTCCATAGCAAACAACTCCAAAATTGTCAAAATTGTCTTCCATAGCAGGCAACGTTCCGAAGTAAAGGAAATGAAAGAAAGCGAGAAAGAAAGAAAGAGAAAATCTTACAAGGCGACCAACGCAAATCCGGGATCCTCACAAAGTCCACAAGACCATGTTTATTTTTTCAACACCTACCTTCTGCAAACACCAAACAACCCCCGTGGCCGACATCAGCTAGCCCAGGGAAATAGCATTTATTGTGTTTTCCACAACACTTATTCAGACTCATCCTGCAAGGCTGCCAACACTGTAATTGGCCGGCTGGCCTCTCGAGAAAAATGCCCAACCAGAGCCCTTTTCGCTCCCTATGGCGGCAAATATCGCAACCGAACAACTACGACCATCGCACCATACCAACAACATGAAAACGCACGGCGCTTCCGACTTCCTAAATCAGCATCAGCCCGACACCAAACCACTTTTAAATTACCCAACATAACAAGCGAATTACCCGACTTCCAGCCAGCCTGTCACTCCCCGTCACATTCACTGCACCTCCAGACACAAGCATGTGCCTCAAAAGACAAGCTCAGCGGAACTGCCAAGCCCTGTGGCCCTCCGCCTTACATTCCTCTCTCTCTCTCTCTCTCTCTCTCTCTCTCTCTCTCTCACACACACACACACACACACACACACACACACACGTCACTATCCAATCCAAATTTTCTCCACTGTTTTCCAGAATACACGCCCTTCCCAACCCGCAATCACACAGAAGACCGTAGACTCCAATTAAGCTCAGGCTATGCTCATGCTGACTTCGTTGTATTGTCACAGACCACGGCACCGGTTTCCCTGCTGCTGCAACTTGGGGCGCTTCTATCATACTAGCCAATTGCAATGCAGTGCACGGCGCACCGCACAGTCTCGGCAACCACAACAGTCTGTTTACACAAGTCACTGTTCTGGCGTATCATGAAAACTCTTATTCACCCATCTATCCCGGCCTTCGGAGTATTGCACACAGCCAGGCAAAGGCTGTAAACAACTGTGTGAGCAGATACCCCATATCAGCCTAACCCGGGCACGCAGAACACCCGAGGAAGTCTTTCTTGCCAACCTTCCACAACCCGGAGTCCCTCCTATGGCGGAGACATAACCATAGCATCCGTAACGTAGAACTTGCAAAAAAACTCGTGCTCGCATGATCGGCATCATGCAGCGGCAAAGGAGATGCCTTCAGACGGTGCAACGGACCAGGACAGAGCACTTTCATACTCGCCAGGGCACAACGGTAAAACGCCCAGCGCACCAGAGGACGTGCGGAAATGAAGCGGCCTCTTGCCCAGACGCACAAAGCATCCATCAGGCTGTCCAAATAGAGCATGCGGTAAGCACCATGCGGACAGCATACGACCTTAAAAGGTTCAGCAGATGACCTTCAGAACAAAGAACATCCTGTGCAGCTGCCATCTAAAGAAAACAACCAGATATAATGACGCAAACCTCTAGACGGAAAAAAAAGCAAGGTCCGGAAAAGATACCTCCGAGAGAGGCCTTTTCGTCAAGACACACATTGCACAGGATGGACCGAACCAAGGCCATCATCGAAGTCATAGCCTTAAACAAACGCTACTATTGTCATCGGCACGCCCTCCGCATGCACAGCGATCGACCTCACCCCGAAAAGACGGAATGAACACCGAGAAGACCCACCATCCGCAAATATGTTCCAAAAAGAAGGCGTCTTGAACATAGAATACGCCCTGCACATAAGTGACAACCCCGCAAATTACTCCCTGCCCACTCAAATCGCCTGGATGTCCATTCCAGGAAGAGATGCAGGCCACAACACACAGCCAGGCCCTCGTGAATTGCCCGATTAGAGAGCCTATCCGGCCTCGTCCATCGGTTACCCACTCTTTCCCTTGCGAGTCTTCACAAACGAGCACTACTCCAAACTATGGGTTTGGCTCTTCTTGCGAGTCATCACAAACTCTGCAGTATCAAGCTACCACAAACTGTAATTGCCTCTTCCAGCGCTGGCAATCGATTAGCATGCACTGACACTGCAGCTTCCCTGTACGTATCAGACTGCAAATAGAGTCAGATCAGTTTCAGTTGAGAAAATGCAAGTGCAAGTATGCCCTTCCTTAGGGACATTAAACAACAAAAAAGAGTCCGGGGACTGAACAAAAGGTGCTTGGAGAGCAAGCCTGCCCGTTCACCAATGTATTTTGACCAAATCAGGAGAGAGGCCCCTCATTGACATGCAGCCTCATCTCTGAGAGCTTGGATAGCCAGATACACCTCCCCTTCTGGAAAAACTCGCACATATGTCATCATCCTGCTGCCAGCCAGACGTCAAGATGTCGACTTTGCTGATCAGCGGCACTCTGCATTCTGTTAAGGCTAAAGGAGGAGCATTCCCTTCACACCTCTCTCCCCAACGCACGGTTTTCTCATCAAACAGCGACCCACCACTCTCAATATCCCTCCATCCTAGGCTGCCTAACACAATCACCTACATCTCTACCTACATGATAATCGTGGGCGAAAGGATGTTTGCCTTGATCTCCTTGTGCGGCAAGACAACCCCACCATTGCTGTAAATCTCGTCCGAGACGTGCACGTCTTCCCCAAGCACCGTCATGTTCTCCACCCGTGCCCACTGCCCAACCGTCGAATGCCATCCAATGATGCTGCCAGAGATATGCGCATGCTTCTTCACACGCACCCCTCGAAGGATTGTACATCTAGAAAGCCGAACGCCCTCCTCGATCACGCAGCCCGGCCCAACCGTAACATCCGGGCCAATCAAGCAGCCATCCCTCACTTCTGCCGTAGAATCAATCAGAACATTGCCCACCACGTGAGAACCCGTCGCCAGAGCTTCCGGTGCCTTTTGCCTCAACGAGTTCAAGTACAAGCGCAAGCCAGTGATGTAGTCCTTGGGCTGTCCGACATCCATCCAGAACCCGGGGAGAACCATCGCAAACAACTTGTTCTCCGCCGCAATCTTCGGGAAAACTTCCTTCTCAATCGATGTCGGCCTCAGCTCTATCCTGTCCAGCACTTCCGGATTCAATAGGTAGATTCCAGCATTGATCTTGTTGCCAACAAACACTTGGGGTTTTTCAACAAACCTCTGAACTTGACCCGTTGCCTCGTCAAGAACGACGACACCGTACTTCGACGGCTCTTCCACCTGCACAAACCAAGGTTCAGCAGTGTCAGAGGCAGAAAGAAATGACGTGTTTACACAAGCTCGGATAGCACAAGTAGCATACAACCAGTCAGATATATCCACTTCGATTCCTTTTCAACCAGCTCGCCATCAATATGACGATACCGGTTTGAACCACAACTAGCCGCGTGGGACCACGTGGGACCAGTTTGGATCCATGTGAAACAAAAAGGGGGAAACGCAAGGAGAGTTATGGCAAGCCTGCTGATTGACCAGTGAATTTGGAACTTCCAACTACCGTCTTCACCCGAATAGAACACCCGGTCATTATAGCTGTTTTTGGGCCAACTTCCAGTCGAGATACAGCCATAATTACCTGGCGTGCTATTCGGGTGAAAACGGTAGGCATTTCCAGCATATAGCGAAGTGATCGTACTCTCATGTTGCCATAAGAGGGACCCATCTTGAGCCCACACAATAAATCCAAGAACTCCTATACCATGTGCATAAGCTCTCTGCAGCTTGGGTCGGGAGTTGTGTTTTCCCACCCTCCGAAGTCCAAACCGCACGTACTTCATAAATAAACATGTTATGAAAGGGTTTGAAGTAAACCGCATTTCATGAATAATCGTGTTATGAAAGTAGTTGAAGGGAACATGTTTACCATGTGCACAAGCTCTCTGCAGCTTGGGTAGGAGCAAAAAACTAAACGGGTAGGCCATAGACTTGCAGGTCCGAGCTCCTGCATGTCCAAGACCATCGACCAGATGCGCACGTACAGACAAAAGTGACATCTAGATGAAGAGAGAAACAGCCCTCTTCGTTTTCCCACACAGAGAACAAATGATCATTACAGACATATTTGGGGCAACTTTCAGGACACATACAGTGACAATCATCGTGTGTTTGTTTCAGGGGAAGCCTGCATTTTCCTGAAAATGAAATGGACTGCTTCAACTTCTTTTGCAACCAAGGAAATGTCTCATTCACTCATTCCCGAGATCGCTGCCTTCCAACTGGAATCTGGTGGAAGAAGGCCTATTGGAGCACCCAGTAAAAAGAATAATCTCTTTACACTTTTCATCCCCCTCCAAATGCCAACATCAGTCACCACTTGCAGCCCCAATCCGCTCTTTATATGTAGTGAAAGAACCAATTTGGGCCCCTCCCTGTCAGAAAACAGGGTCTTTGACTTCGTCCCCTGTAGTTGACCTGGCCTTTATTCTAAAACGAAATAAAAAGCAAGTTGTCCCGTTCCTTGTGCCTTTCTTGTCTGCACAAATGCCCGCACTATCGTTATACCATCCCATCACCGCCTAGACAGATACGTTACTCCGCCCCTCCCTATCACAAAGGATCTTTATACTTGACCTGGCCTTTATTATAAAACGAAATAAAAAGCAAGTTGTCCCGTTCCTTTTGCCTTTCTTGTCTGCACACGGCCAAACAAATTCTGCACCACTACATCTGCACCACTACCTCTCCCAGGCAAGGTCAAGAATACAAAATGTGACAAGTTCCAATGAACAGTGCTGCTGGACCAAAATGGCTGATGGGGGGAGCCAAAGGAAAACGCCTAAAAGAAGAAAGGAAAAAGAGAAAGGATTCTTTTTTTTTGCCGCACAGTGGAAATCCGACTGCCGCTAGCATCCAACCAACAATGGCCATCGCTGGTACCCAACCAACAATCCCCAGACGGTAGTAACCCGCTAGTACCCGGCAGACAATCCCCAGCGCCGAAAGTGTCCACATAGGGCAGCAATCAGACCAGGGATGGGGGTTGGGGGGCGGGGGAGGGGGGGGGGGCATGAAATTTCGAGTGCCGTCACTTCAGCAGCCACATCCGTGCTCAAGCCTCCAAAAAGGGAACATACAGGAGCTGCTCCCACCGGCCAGATGTCAGCCAGTAGCATCAGGACCGAGCTTCTTCGATGGACCCATCACAGTGCCTCCCTTCTGATCCCCTACCGCTATGAACATCAGCAGTCTCTGCTAAATGCAACTCAGGGTGACCAAACACCTATCTCTAGGTGGCGTGCGCCAAGCTTGCCCAGTAAGGTACATCAGGCCAACGGGAATTGACCCAAGACCTCCTGAATGCCACGTGTGCGTTACCAACTGAGCTAGGCCGCTGGATAGCAGCAATTTTAAACTATGCAGTGGGGCGTAACCCACATCCACGATTTTTTATCAGATTTGTTTTCTGGAAGGAGTCAAGGGCAGCAGCAATTTTTGCCCTCGTCTTTCCACGATTTTTCACTCTCAGAAGAACGCCTTGAAATCTGTAGAAATTGGAGGGTCTGTTAATTTAGTCGTGGTCTTTCCACGAGGAATATTTCAAAAATTCTTTAAACTTCGTTAGGTCGTGAAATAAATGCCATGCCTATTTGCCTCATTCTCGATCTTTGCCAATCGGCAAAACAGAAACGTACCCTCAATTTCAGCGATGCTTCGCGCTCAGAAGAATTCATTAAAAATCTGAAAATAGGACGGTCCGTAGAATAGGTCGTGATCTTTTCAGGGAATATATTTAAAAGACTTCAAAACGTCGTTTCAACCACGAAACAAGTGCTGGCCGCAATTCGTTGGATTTTCTTTTCCATTTCTGCCACTCTGCCAGGTCTCCACACTGTGCTACAGATAGCTACCGGTCCCCAAAATTTCCAACGTAATGTAGAGTGGCGGTTTAAGGTGGACGTATAAGGTGTACGTAAAACCTCCAAGCATAGAATCCTTCCTCTTTCGTTTCCTTTCTATTCTGGAAGTATCTGACCGCATTCCGGCCCAGAGAGCTGCAAACTGAGTGCTAGTAGGCGTACACTAGCTGTCTATCCTCCCAAAGGGGTATGAATCGGTAGCAAAGCTTTGTCAGAGAGAAATGAAATTGTGTGTGTGTGTGGGGGGGGGGGGGGGGGGGGGGGCATGATAGGATCCCCCCACCTTCGTTTCCTTTTTCTCCTATGTATCCGACCGCCTTCCACTCCTGAGAGATGTAAACTGAGTGCTAGTGCGAGCACGCTCTCACTGTTGTTCTTCCCAAAGGTGTGTTTTGTGTGTTTGTCAACAGAGACTTCATGAAAGCGACTTTTTTGTGACATTTTCTTCGTTCTTTTCTTCTGCAGCGCCCGAATAGTGCCGACTTGGACCTTCATATCCTCAAAATGTCCTCCAAGCGGTGTACCGTTTTCCTGCTTGCCTACAACGCCAAGCCCAGATTTTGTAATTCTGAAAATTTTGGATGTCGGGGGCAGTGGCGGTTTAAGAAAGGAAATGTTAGCGTTCTTCTGGCACAAGTGTCAGGCCTACAACTGCCACTGCCAGGCCGGCCTCTCACGACAGATTGGTACTTCGAAAGGGCAAAATCGACCTGTGGGAAAGTGAGGCTCGAAGGAGGCTGCAAGGTAGAACACGTGGTTTAAGGCTGCCCGCAGGTCCATGGCTGACGTGTTGGACCTATGTCAAGCCTAATAAACCCCAGCCAGGTTGAAGCCCCAAGACGTGACAACTGTGATCCTCCCATCTTAGAGGGGACATACCTCTTAGAGGCACCGTGTACTACACTATTAACATTCTCTCTATCAAGGGTCTCATGTCTGTGATTGAGACCCTGGCCCGGGCTCAAGCCCAATTTCCACCCAGGCTGGAACCCCAGAACACTATGGAGACCACTTCCTGCCGGGCCCCACCCCTCCCACCTAGCTACTCTTGCAGTACCCCGTTCGGCTTGACCCACTTTGAGAGCAGTCGTCCATCCATCACAAAGACAGAGGGCAAGTACTTCTTGGCTATTTCGGTCGGACGCCACTGGTTACTATGTTCACGCTTGAACCATGAACAGCCACTGGTACTATGTGCATGCTTGATCCATGAACATGGCCGTGCTATCGGGGCAAGTTCGCATTTCTGCTATGATCAAGTTCGTATTTTCTTATCGTGATCGTAGCACCACACATGCCTCACCGGTCCCTTTAGCAGGGCTTTAGGCTTCATACACTTCGTTTCGAGTACACAGTTCCTGCCATACGATCTGAACATCTCACGGCAGCACTTCGGCACAATGAAAAATACTCGACAAAAAGACTAAACCCCCACTTTGGTGGGACCAGGGGATTCCGGGCATTTATTTAATTCTCTACCTGTCTAAAGCTCTCAACCATCACCCCACTGCCATTCATAGAGGTAGCCTATTCCCTGCACTTGCACATAAGTGCCGTTCTCTATTCCACAGCTAGCCTGTAATTCTCCTATTCTAGCCTTGAAACATGTAATGTTCCCTGCCTGGCTGCTCATTTCCTATTCTAGCCTTAAGCCACCAGTACACCCGGGGCTAAATGTACGAGCCTAAACTTTAATTTTGCCAACCCTGAAAACGACCGGTAAGGTTGGCACCAGTACCGGCCGCTGTTGGATTGAGTGCTGGACCTGCTGCTGTCACAAGGAACGAAGGAAAGGCCGCTGTTTTCACTCATGTGCCACCGAAAGCCATCAGATGGCCGTAACTTCCAACAGATACATTCGGGAAAAAGTGCAAGCGTGAGTATGCCTTCACGGAAACGGCCCGGCAAAAAAAAAAAAAAAAAGAAACGGCCTGACACTCTGATTCCATCGCTCCCCATCTCTCCAGGCAGGGAAACGTGACCTGAAAAAAAGGTTGGCAGGCCCATCTTTCCCAAAAAAATCAAGAAAATGAAAATAATTACAGCAAAAAATCGCAGCAGGGCTTTTTCTACTAGATCTGTACCTGATTGCCATCAGATTCATTGAGGGTGGTCCACAAATGCAGTCAGATGCATTCATGTACCTGTAGCCAGAGTATGTCGCGAGCACCGGTTCGAACCCGGTTTTCTGCCTCCAGGGTGGTAAGAGCCCCTGAAGATAGAAGAGGGCCTAGGTTCGATGGCTCCATTCTATTCGTGGGGAGCTGCTCCTGCTGGAAACCGGGTCCAGCGTCCCAAAAACCATAATATAGTCTTTGAATACAGCAAGCTAACTGGCCTCTTCACCCAGGCGCTTACTGAGCATGTGGGCTTTAGATTTGATTCGTTGGGCTGGATACTCAATTCGTTCCAGTGCCCACCTCTCACAGCAGGGAGGCAGGCACAGGCACTAAGGGTCTGATCCCACCACTACACTACATCCCAGTTACAGTGTAGTTTTCAGATCCCACCACTTTCCTACGTCGTCACGGCCGCCGAAATATTTTGCCTTACTTTCGTTTGGGTGTGTCGTGGCAGCACGTCCGCGAAGGGCACAAGTGTAGTTACAAGTTTTCTGTAGACCCTGAGGGGTTCTCCACAGCGAAAAAGAGGGAGCAATTTGCTCTTTTTTTTTTTTCTTCTCGTTCGTCCATTTGCAGCATCAGGAATGTCCGTGGACCACACTGTTGTGTGGCATTTCGGTTGGCGAAAACGTCCGCCCTCTGCAACAGCCCACAAATAACCGCCACGGGTCCAGGACAACCACCGAAGAAGTCGCCCTCGTGGGATCCGTTCTCTTTTTCGTCCGGCCACGGCCGCTGACATCTTTGTAGTGCTTTTTCGCGACTACAGTCGTAGTGTAGTGGTGGGATCAGACCCTAACACCCACGTTCGTTTTTCTTTCCTTTTTTAAGCCCCCTCACGTGCACGTGTTTCCACATGGCAGACACTCTTGAGGAAAACAAGTAGTCCATTCGGCCTTCTCTGTCAGGCCCACCTGATTCCTCCCCCATAACCGTACCGGCCCTCCCCCGAGCCCAAGTTGCCACCAATTTACTGAATATAACGCCCGGGCATTATAAACGAATTCGTATACAACGCCCGGGCCCATATCCCACTTGCAGCGCTGAGTGAGTTCAACGCCGAGTTTTCTATCCCGTGTGACCTGGAGCGACCCAGGAGATGAGTTCTCTCACCGTCCATCGCGCGGTCGGATTTTCAGAAAGAAGGAAAACGAGAGTTGGGTTGCCTTTCTTTAGTAGGATAATCGAACGAAAATCGATCTACCCTACCCCGCTTCCGTTGAGCTAGCTACCTTTCTGGAAGCAGGTTAGCTGCTCAAGGGAGAGGCCACATTCACGAGGTCAGTGAAGGTCAGTGAAGTTTCCGAGCCGAGGGTTAGATACTAGACCAACAACACAGCTCAAATAATGGTAGAGGCGATATCCACCGAGTCAGTGGAATTTCGAAGGGCTAAAAAGCAGACCCATCATTTCAGCATATTCTTTTTTCCTCCAGCGTGCTACAGGGAGAGGCCTCACTCACCACATATCCACCGAGTCAGTGGAATTTCGAAGGGTTAAAAAGCGGACCCATCATTTCAGCATATCCTTTTTTCCTCCAGCGTGCTGCAGGGAGAGGCCACATTCACCACATCAGCGAAGTTTCGGCGAGAGTTTAAACACTACGTAGACCAAGAACAAAGCACGAGAAATGGGAGAGGAACGTTCACCACGTCAGTGAAGTTACGGAGATTTAACGCTGGAAAGAACCAAGCGTGAAAAATACATGTTTCTCGAAAGACATACCTGCACTGTGTTCGCAGCCACATGCGTATGTAGTATGTACGCACGTGCTGGTGGAATGTCTAGGTAAACAGACTGTCTTCACGGCTTCCGTACATAGGAAACGCAGTGAAACTAGTCCAGTAGGTGATGCTGGTTGCTGCCCTACCCCTCAGCCAACAACGTGGGAGACAGAAAAGCAACAAAATTCAAACAACTTATCTTTGGGTCAGCGGCATAGCTCGGTTGGTTGAGCATTCGGCTCCCCACAGCCTCCTGCAGCACACTTCGGGCTTGCCACCTGAGATAGACGGTTCGCCTCCCGCGGACTAGGTAGGGGGAAGGTCGGGCCCTTTCCACCCATGCTGAGAGTTAGATTCAAACCTGAAGGGGTAGGTAGGCCTGAGAGGATAGGTAGATCAGTATAGATCAGATAGGAAAGCGTCCTGTAGGCTCGGGAACTGGACTTAGATAGATATAGGCATGAGGGTAACCTTTTCTTCTTTTTTTGAAGGGATAAGGGTAGCTATTGCGAGGCATACTGGATTTGGATTAAAAAAAAAAAAAAAAAAAAGCGAGCCTTTTTTTTCCCCAAAATAAGACCTGTCTGTCCTACTAGGGGACGTGATAATAGCACCCTCCCTGGGGTGGGTGCTGGGTGCTCTCCCACGTTCTAGCAGAATATATGCATTCTCTATTTTAGTATTTTCCACATTCGGCAAGTTCTTCGGCAACCCTTACAAATTTCAAAAACCAAACGCACACCCCCAAAAAGCATTCCACAAATCCATTTCCACTTACCTTGGTAACTAGGATGGTCGCTTCCCCTTTGCTCTTCTGGTGAAATTCGTAGAGCTTTCGCAGAGGGTACTCGCTGATGACATCACTGTTCAACACAAAGAAGGGATCACCACTTCCGTCCACAAGCAGTTCACGTGCGAGGGCAAGTGGCCCTGCCGTGCCCATTGGCTCCTTCTCCTGTGAGCAGGTGATCTTGATGCCAACCTTTATCTCGAACTCCTTCAAGAAGCTTTGCATCACCTGATAGCAACGCAAAGAAAGCCACAGATCAGCGCAGGTAAAGTTTCTACCACAATTTTTTCACAATTCCACACTTCTGAAGAGCGTGGCGGTTCCAAAAAGCAGGTGGGGCGCAGTGAGGCGCTGCCAGGCCGGGCGCTGGCAGTTTAACAGCAACAGGTTTTAAGGGCCGAATGTGGACGTATTTCTGGAGAGGTGCAGGAAATGTCTGTTGATCTGCTTTTCTGCATTGCTGCCTAAAACCCATCCAGATTCATGCGCTAAAGCCAAATGTCTTTGCCCGTGGGCAGGGCCCTTGGACCCGATCAAACAAAAACATATATTTTCCCAAACTGTTGCTCGTCCCAAAAACAAATAAAAACCAAATTTGGCAAACTACGTGCAAGATATACTCCGTTCAGATGGCCGTCTGGATTACAACTCGCGTCTGTACCCCAACAGATGATAGGCGTGGCAACTGAGCTAGGCCGGTTTGTCACAAAAACAAGTTTTTGTTCTGTTTTGGTTCTTTTTCGCATGTCAGCAAATCTTCTTTGTAACGTTCCAATTTTATGAATGTTTGGCACACAGTCATTTCTTTCTTTTTTCTCTTTCTTCCCACTTATTTTTTTGTTGTTGGGGACGTCTCCCATATCACTTAAAGTTCAGGCGGAACACAAACCAGAAAAAAAAAAAAATGAAACACCAAAACCACCACTTCATTGGCCGCCAAAATGGATCCGGATACCTTTGTCGGCCTTTTTGCTAAGATCAAGTGCAGCATCTGTTCTGATCAGTTTAATATCTGATCTGTGGTCCATCGGGCAACAATTAAAAAAGAAAAAAAAAAAAAGAAAAAAAAGATCCGGACGTACCTGGACGTCTGCATGGCATCCGAACCTAAGTCGACACAGGTCGGGATGGTGTCCAGATCCAAGTCCAGCTGAACCATGCCACCGACCTGTGACTGCAACACACGCCCAATCCATATTCCTTATCTGAACTGATCAAAATATGAAACCTTCCGTTCTTTACAGAGATATGACCCTACGACGGCTACGAAGAATGCCATACAGGTCTGCCACGCCTCTTCATGAAAAACAGAAATTATTCTTCTGATGGCAAGCAGAGCACGGTCATCAGGCCACACAGCTACTACTCGGAGATATGAAACATTTCCTTTCTTTACAGAGAGATCACCCTAGGGCGGCTACGAACAGTGCCATACAGGTCTGACACGCCTCTTCATGAAAAACAGAAATTATTCTTCTGGTAGCAATCAGAGCACGGTCAAGTCAGGCCACGCAGCTTCCCCCCACCCCAACTGCGAACGTCACGCGCAAGCCCCTCCCAATGGAAGCAACTACTAGTTTTCTACCCGCGAGATCTTTGCACCATGCAATCCTGATTCCAATCACCAAGTAACAGCTGCTCACCTCAGGCTGATAGTTGATTGCCAAAACCACCTCTGTCACACCAACTGCCTTTAGGGCTTCAATCTGTGAAAGGGTAACAAGCCAACACCACTAAATTAGAATCTCTCTCTCTCTCTCTCTCTCTCTCTCTCTCTCTCTCTCTCTCTCTCTCTCTCTCTCTCTCTCTCTCTCTC